ACTGCCCCACAAACACTATCCCCATACACACACTGCCCCCCATACACACACTGCCCAACAAACACTGTCCCAATACACACACTGCCCCCATACGCACACACTGCCCCACAAACACTGTCCCCATACACACACTGCCCCACAAACACTGTCCCTGACATACACTGCCACACTCACACACTTCACCCTTAACACACACCACTGCTCCTATACCCTATATCCCAGCAGACCCCAGGTAAGTTGTCAAACTGTTCTTAAACGGTATGACTACTTACTCTGGGGTGGAATCCTGGCACTACTGACACCATAACTACTACACTGAGCTGTAGTGGTTATTGTGCCTGGATTATTTATTTAAATAATCTACAAGTGCCCCTCCCGAGATCAGGCTCTGGATCCGCCACTGACCCCGGGTGCACAGGGTATGAATGCTTAAGTGCTGGCCATCAGCCTGATAGAGAGCCTCCCTCAGCTCTTCCAATTAATGCACTGTCATGGGAGATATCCTGCTAAGCTGGAAGTGTTGAAGTTTCTGCCCAGTAGCTAACAGAGGCCTGCCTCCATTCAGCAGTATTGAGTAGCGTATACACAGCGGAGTGCACAGGGTATGAATCTTGCAAGTGTGGGGCACGGCCATATATAGAGTCTGTGTGCAAACAGTTTTTCAAAGGTCATAGTTATATCTCTTTAACCCCTTAAGGACACATGACATGTGTGACATGTCATGATTCCATTTTATTCCAGAAGTTTAAGGGGTTAAGTGGTATGCACTGGGAATCCTGTTGTAATAGCCTGACTCCATACAGTAGGAAAAAGTAGAACGACCTAGCCAGGGTAACCCCAGGTGTACAGTAGTACGGTATATGAACTCTAGAGTGTGCCTGTCACCGTCCTGACAAGAGAGCACTAATTTGTGTTCTAACAGTAATCTGAGGTATCCCTTAAACATCCCTTAACTGAAGTAATTCCACATAAGGTGTAGCACAGTCCTGATATAGAGCACAGAACCGTGCTCTAACAGTTAAGCTGAGGTTAAGGGTGATATCCCTTTAAACCTCATATGCAACTGAAGTAATACAACATTAACATGTAATAATAGAACAGATTTGAATACTACACCTGTACCTGGATTTGAACTTGGGACCTTGGGATCCAACACTTGAGAGCAGCTAAGCCTAAGCTGGCAGCACAAGCGTAAACTACTCGCGAGTGCCGAAAACATGGTGCGCGGGTATAGCAAGATGGCAGCCTTAAATCTCGCGAGATGTGAGATTAAAGATGGCCGCTCGCAATCCCGTGAGACTAAAGATGGCCGCCGTGGCTTGCTCGCGAGGGGACGCGAGTCCAGTCAGCACCAAACTGGAGAATGCGGCGTGATCATGGAGGAAAGGCCACAGTCTGGGGGACCAGACAGAAGGGGAACAAATGCCTGGGAGCCGGCGAAAGGGTGGGGATAAAGCCCCAGCAAAACACAAAAGCTCCTTGAGACCCTGGGAGAAGAGAAATGTAGGTTTCTATTCAGCAATTCTTATATTTACTAAAACAAAATAGTGTCAGAATTTGGTCTCCCCAAGTGAATCTGCAACACTCAAAATTAAAACCAAATTAAAACCAGTGCTTTTACATCTGACTCCTATAAAAAGTATAGGATTTGGAGGATTCTGGATAGGAACCAAATGCATCCAGTATTAATGCAAGCAAACGGTAATTTGAAGTACTATTTGCTAACTGATAGTGCTAGAAGCCTGTGGTCAATTGGTTAAAAACCCTCAATGGCACAACAGTTAATTATGTGGTGGTTGACCAGTGCCTACTAGCCAGCCACCACATTAAAAATTAATTAAAAGCGTATGGTGATCAATAAGACCCCATATTACTCAAACAAGGGTTAAACAATAAAATACATGTTAGGTAAAAGTTATACTTACCATCAGAAAACTTTCTTTCAATTCTTCTTGTTTTCATCCCCAGGAAAGCCAAATAAAAATCAATTATCTCACGACGCAACTAGTTAAAAGAAAAAAAAAAGAAAGCCCAATCACAAAAGAAACCTCTGGAAAAAAATAAAACACCTGGCACAATGAACGTATTCCATCTTTACCAATGGATAACTCCATGCTGATTGACCTCCGATGCAATTTTTTTTTTTTTATGTATTTCTGACAATTGGAAATGCTGAGTCTGTTGCAATATGAGCTAAAATGTGCAAATTTAGAAAAACATTATATTGTACCTTCTACATCTTCGATAAAATTTCATTAACTGAAAAAGTGCGCAATTTACAATAAGATATTTTTTGTTTAACCACAACCACAAGAATAAATGCTCAATTAAAAAATAAGACAAAACATCTACTGATGCATAGTCACACTTTTCTGGTGCCATCAGTCTGCCCCCAGCATCCAAAAATGGCTAAGGATTGTCAATGAAATACACCATGTAGGAAAACAAATGACTGCAGAGTAAGGCTAAGCTAACTCAGGAGTAAAAGGTGGACTAAAAGGGCAACAGGAAAGGGCATAACCCAAGAAAATAGACAAAGAAAAAATCCCTGAAGTCAATATTATTGGGAGGAAGAACAAAGGTCCAACGCTCAACAAAAAGCCAGTATAGGGTGTGCCCCTTAAATAGAGTAATTAACTCAAAATCCAAGAAAATGTCAATAAATAAAAATAATAAATTTTATTAGAAAAACATTAAAATATATTGTAGTGAATAACCAAAACCCAAAGTGCTACCAAGTGAAAAAAAGTGCTTAAAAATACAAGAAATGGGTCTTGCTAAAGTCTGCGTGGTACGTCTCAGATATATCAACGTATGGAGTTAAGTACTCCTATAGAGAGTAAAAATACCCCTGAAACAATATAAAGTGATATAAATAAGATAGGATATGGGTAGGCAATGTAACTGCCAAAAAGTAGGTAGAGTAGCATAGATGGTAATGACCGGATCTAGATAATGCTGGTAGCTAGAAGGGGGTAGTAGAAAATACAATGTCCTATGGTGTCTAAGGATAGTATTCAGAGCCCCTGTTACAGAGAGAAGTGTAAATATACAATGTCCCCCTTGTGGCCTGATTATAAACTAAACCCTAGAAGAAACAAATAAATATTAGGAAAGCAGCCGAACGGTATAAACTGCTTCCCCTATTAAATAGTGTATACACTCCAAAAATGGACTAGGGTCTCCATGAAGTAAGAAATGGTATGCAAGTAGACATCTGGGTGGGTAATTTAAGCCACCCACCCGTGAGTCCAAAATACCAGTTATATGTTATCTGCAGAGATATATGTAACCCTATGACCAATAAATAAAGAGTAAAAAACCATAAACAGGAACAACGTATCTAAACCCCCCTTATTGAAAGCTTAAGATAAATAAAGTATCCATCAGTATCCAGCTGCTATCTAGAAAACATGGTGCGCGGGTATAGCAAGATGGCAGCCTTAAATCTCGCGAGATGTGAGATTAAAGATGGCCGCTCGCAATCCCGTGAGACTAAAGATGGCCGCCGTGGCTTGCTCGCGAGGGGACGCGAGTCCAGTCAGCACCAAACTGGAGAATGCGGCGTGATCATGGAGGAAAGGCCACAGTCTGGGGGACCAGACAGAAGGGGAACAAATGCCTGGGAGCCGGCGAAAGGGTGGGGATAAAGCCCCAGCAAAACACAAAAGCTCCTTGAGACCCTGGGAGAAGAGAAATGTAGGTTTCTATTCAGCAATTCTTATATTTACTAAAACAAAATAGTGTCAGAATTTGGTCTCCCCAAGTGAATCTGCAACACTCAAAATTAAAACCAAATTAAAACCAGTGCTTTTACATCTGACTCCTATAAAAAGTATAGGATTTGGAGGATTCTGGATAGGAACCAAATGCATCCAGTATTAATGCAAGCAAACGGTAATTTGAAGTACTATTTGCTAACTGATAGTGCTAGAAGCCTGTGGTCAATTGGTTAAAAACCCTCAATGGCACAACAGTTAATTATGTGGTGGTTGACCAGTGCCTACTAGCCAGCCACCACATTAAAAATTAATTAAAAGCGTATGGTGATCAATAAGACCCCATATTACTCAAACAAGGGTTAAACAATAAAATACATGTTAGGTAAAAGTTATACTTACCATCAGAAAACTTTCTTTCAATTCTTCTTGTTTTCATCCCCAGGAAAGCCAAATAAAAATCAATTATCTCACGACGCAACTAGTTAAAAGAAAAAAAAAAGAAAGCCCAATCACAAAAGAAACCTCTGGAAAAAAATAAAACACCTGGCACAATGAACGTATTCCATCTTTACCAATGGATAA